TTTTTTTTTTGCATCCTTCTACAATTTCAATGCATCTCTGATAATTTGCAAAATAGATTACTACCGCATGACATGTCTCTAACTTGTCAATAAATGAGTACATGTACGTTGGGGATTTAAGCTGTTAGTGTTAACTTAGAAGATAAAGCACTTGAAGGCATTCAGAGACTTGGGTCAACTGTACAACACAGACAGCGAAATGGTGCCCCCTTTGGAGAAAAAAATCATTTAGATCATTTCAGTGATCTAAGTAATTTACTTCTCCATCTCTTCTTCCCGATCCCCAATTTGTTTATCTAGTTATTACTAGATAAAGCACTGATATCAATAGAATCTTATAGAATGAAGTCTAGGCATTGAAGTTGTGATTGAAAATACTGGATAAATCATTTCTTTCATAAACAATGTATAAAGATTTATGATTGATGAGAGTGCCAAGCTCTCAATACCGAATGTGTCTTTCTTTAAAGGAGGCTATTCTGGAAGAACAGGAGAAGAAGAAAAGCAAAAACCTGTACGTATTAAGACTCCCCATATTGAGTTCATCGATAAGCTGTTTTAATTCGGTACCAGAATCACCAGACTGTATCTTATTTCCACACACTGTCAGGCAGCTCTTCTTTCTTCTTAACACCTCTCCTTCTGGCGATGTGACCTGTGAGGACGCCATCATTCCTCCAGAGCAGTATATTTAGGAGTTGCTCCTCCTTTCACAGATCCTGCAGTAAGGATGAGAGGTCTGAGAAGAGCTGCTTCCTGCTTATAAAAGAGGCCTTTTTAGCACAAATCTCTAGTTTGTTAAAGCAAGCAAAGACTAATTTTATTTAGCGACAAATCTCTGACGTCCTAAGACGCAAACTGCATGCATTTCTTGGTGACAAAGCATCTAAGGTGACCTCTCAGATCTGAAGTTCTTCTCAAGGTTGGGAGGGCTTCCTGGGTGAGGGTGAAGCCAGCGCTGACGACACGGAAGGGCCGTTCCCAGGACAGGGGAATGACCCCTGTCCTCCTGGGACAAACACGCCTGCCCATCCGACACCCTCGGTGGCTCTTGAGCCCCACGATTAGTTTCCACATTGCAGAAGACCTGTCCATAGGGACGCCGCAGACCCCGGGAGCTGGCCAAACACCCTGCCCCTGCGAGGAGCAGGGTGTCACGGTGGGACGGACCCTCCCTAGGGAGTCGGAGGAGGGATTGTAGCCCTTGCTTTGTCATTGTGACCTTGAAACCCCCTTGACTTTTCTGGGCCCCCACTTCTGCACCTATGAAAAGAAGGGATAGGACTCCCTCCGTGCTTCTCAGCGGGTGGAGAGCGCCCACCCACATCAGATCACCTGTGGGCACTGCAGACGCAGACCCCTTTGGCTCCCACCCTGATTTACTGAGATAAAATCTCTGGGAGTCAGACACAAGGTCCACATTTTTAGCAGGTATTGCAAAGCAAAACTCACAGGTGATTTCCATGTTCCCTGAAATTTGAAAGCAACAGCCGTCCCAAATCCACTCTAGTTCAAAAACATCTCATTCAGTAATTCGTTATTATAGGAAACATGTCAACCCAAAAACCTATTTCTCATCTCTTTTCCACAAACAAATCCTGAAGCCTCCTGATTCTGTCAAAACTTGAGAACAGATGTGTAATAGGCCTTCTGGGATATCCAGAGTATTACAGCAGGAGGTGAAAGGAAGAGGCTGGAGAGAGGGGAAACTAACATGTGACTGGCTACTTTCCCGCGAGCCCAGCACATGCATTTGGTGGTGCGATCGCCATGAGGACCAACAGGTGCAGGAGGAGGAAAGAGAGGGACCATATGTGCAGGACCTGCCTCAGGGGACCACATGGGTCGCCTGACCCTACAAATGATGACAGCGTGGTCGGGGGACAGGGAAGAAGCACTAAGATGGTATGAATGGACCCTACACCAGAGTCTTCCCTCTCCAGTGCTCTATGATTTGTTACCTAAAGCTCTCCTCCACTGGAAAATAAGGTGGCATTTATCATTTCATTTAGGAGTGAGTTTTCTCATTGCACAGAGGAAGGGCTAAGATGCATGTAAAAGATGTCATGACCTGCCCAAGTCACCCAGAGGGTGGAAACGCCCTGTGGGAAGGGGGTGGTACACATCTCGTGTGCCCCCCCAAACCTCCGGGCCACATCTCTTTCTCCAGCCCCTGCTGCCAGGCAGGCTGCCAATGGCTGCACACACACCGGCTCAGACCCCTCGCTTGTGCCTACTGCTCACTGCCCTGGGCTCCTCCGAGGCTGCAGCGTGGGGCGCCCATGAGATCCCAGTCCACGCGCACACACGGGCACCTAACAGGCTGGTGCAACGCTGGGGGTTAGTGCTCTGGGGTCGCCCTGGACCAGGAGGGAACAGGATCAGAGAACAACTACTTCTCTTTGTCACCCTGGGCGGCAGTTCCAGTTCCCAGCTGCATTTCACACGCCCAGCTCCACCACTACACCCCTTGTCCTGCGGCCTTTCTCTCCTGTCGCACTTCCCAGACCTTCACTCACACTTTCTGTCATCACTTCCCCCAAAAAACTACTCACAAACACCCCTCTGCCTGAGGTTCTGCTTTCAGGGGAAACAGACTAAGACTGGCCCCAAAGTCAGAAGAAGATGCCTTAAAAATAAGGCAGTTGGAATCCGTGGGTTTTCCTGCAGTGCTGGAAAGAGCAGATGTTTTTCAGGTGACACTGGAAAAGTGTAGGTAAATAGTAGCATCACGGTTGACTGGGACAGCCGCCTGCGCTCACCGCCTGTGGCTGGCAGCCAGGAAGGGAGGAGCCCGCGTCCCGCTCCCTGACTTACCTGCTCACCTAGCAGGTCATTGTGAAGTGCTCAGCTGCGCTGTGTCTGTTCTAAGAGGTGAGAATACAGCAGTGAGCAAGACTAGGAAAAAAAAAGTTGAGAGCTTACATTCTAGAGGGAAAAGACAGCTAACCAACGAGCAAGTGCGTGCATGGTACAAGGTAGAGTCATTACCTCTCCCTCCCCCGGCCCCGAACTTGAACTCCTATAACTGAAATATGCATATGACAGGACTCCAATTTTAAGTGGCAAAGCAAGGACTGAAACCCAAATACTCAGACTCCAGAATCTGTGTGTGTGTGTGTGTGTGTGTGTGTGTGTGTTTAAAGCCCCACTGAGGCTGGTGGCTTAGATTTATAACTCACTGTTGATCTCTTAAGAGATGAGGAGTTCTGGGGGAAGAAAGAGCGCTGATTCTTCAGGGCAGAGAACCCACTTGGCAGTAAATGTGTTCCCGGGCTTAACTGGCGCCGTCTGTGCACTGAGATGCTCCGTGCAGAGCGCCATATACCGCCCTCACGCCTTCCTCTCCCCGCAGGGCAGTGACCATCTGCCTGAGGGTCGTTGCCAACATCCTGGTGCTTCTCTCGCTGGCTGGGAGCATCTATCTCATCTACTTCGTGGTGGACCGGTCCCAGAAGCTGGAGCAGTCCAAAAAGGAGCTGACGCTCTGGGAAAAGAACGAGGTACCCATGCCCAAGGAGCTGCCCCTCTGTTTCCATGGTGTTTCTTAAGTGGGTTACCTGGAAATGTACCACAGAAAAATTGTAGTCTGCTTGTTCTAGAGCGCAGACCACAAGGGCCTGGAGGTAGAGCGGCAACCCCCAGGCTTGGCTCAGTTATTTCCCTGGTCTAAATCAGGAAAGATTTTTGATTCAAAAGCACCTTCTGGTGTTTGCACATGCTTCACCTTTGAGTTTTGCTGCTGACCGTGCTTTGCTTTTCTCGCTTGATGTTTCTCCATAGACACGTCACCAGACACCGACTTCACCTAGACTTGCGTTAACATTGCGCTGTGTTCCATCACATGGGACAAAGCTGACTACGCGGTGATTATCAAATGTTTAGGTGGTTTCCATATTTCAGAATCACAAATAACAATTCCTGAACCATCTCTACGCCAATAACTTGTTTTTCTTTTAAGATCTTTTCCCTCCACTTAGGTGAATATTCCCATTAATAAAAAATCACCAAGGGGAATGTTATGGACAATTTTATAATTCTTAATATTTGTTAGAAGACTGTTGTCCTGAAAACTTGGTCCAACTTACCTATAAGATTTGAATAGCAGAAATAACACAAATGCCGCCTCTCAGACCACTTGTATGAAAAAGACCATCATCTTTGGGATTTAAAAACAAAGTGTGCAGGTGATACGGTGATTATAAATGTATCCTCAACGTACAGTAGTTTTTCAAAGTCTGAGACTGCATTAGGCAGTCTTATCTCACATCTTTTGCTGTTTTGCATCAATGAACTGGGTTCTGTAAATGTGTGCTTGTGTGTCGATGGCTGATACAGAGAGGTAGCTAAACAGATAGACAAGTGTTTTGAAGATCTATTCATAAATTATGTCTTGCTTTAGCTCACACCTCTTGGATACCAGCTAAATCTCCTCGTTCATTTGTCAGAAGTACAGAAAAACAAGAGCCAGGCATAATTCGCTAGATAATTCATCTTCCATGCACAGAACGGATATTAAATTTCCTCTTTTCTGTTCATAATAGCTGCAGTTATTTCCTTCCATCCAAGCGAAGGGAAGGATAAATAGAATGAGGTGGTCGGTGGGGAAGGTGGCAGAATAGCCAGTGAATCCCGGATGGCACATCCCAGTGTCTTCAGATTAAGCAGCCGTCCTGCAAGGAATCGACCCATGACGAAGTGGCAGCGGCCCTTTGAAAATAGCAAACTAGCAGAGATTTGGGGGACGGCTTCCATGCAAGAACTGCATGACCCTCAGAATACCCCCGACCAAGTATTAGGCTAAGAGACCGACTGTGAGGTGAAGGAGGCTGGGATGCTGGACCCCAAGGAGCTCAGCCTGGCCCGCACTCTCTTGGTAGGTGAGCGTGGTGGTCTCCCTCGTCACCATGCTGGCACCATCAGCCTTCGACCTCATCGCCGCCTTGGAGATGTACCACCCGCGGACCACGCTGCGCTTCCAGCTGGCGAGGTACGGCCACCCTGCTGGGAGATGCCTCGTTGGGGGTCACCTGCCTGGCCACCCATGGGGGGCACTAAGTCCCTCGAGAGCCAGGGCTTGCTTTGTTCCCCCCAAAACTTAGCACAGAACTTCCCCTGTGGATGCATCTCAAGCAGGATTCCACAGGAGAGAAGGGCGAGAAGGAAGAGGGAAGGGAGGCAGGGAGAGAGGAGGGGCCGGAGAAGAGGGAGGAATAGGCAGAAAAAGCAGATACAAGGGAAAGAGGACAGAAGATGATGGAAAACATGCCCCGTTTGCCTCACTTCCAGTCCCTCCATGGGTTGACTGTGGAGGGTGAGAAAGACCCAAGCTGTTTTTCCAGACATGAGACAAACATAATACTTTGCTTCCTTTAGCTGACGCCGGCCAAGCTGACTCTGAGGGTCTTGCCCGGGGCCAGGTACTGTGAACACAGAGATGGAAAGGTCCCCATGATGCCCAAGGGACTCCTTCCACAGTGCACAGGGGAAGCCAAGGTGAATCACAGAGATGCCCCCTCCAGATGCCCTCGCTCTGTTTCCCTGCTCACTCCCTGCACACAGGTGGTCACAGGTGTGAGCTCTACCCCTACGGAGATGCAGGAGGCCTGTGGGACTGGGCAACTCAAAGCTTTCATCTGGAGTCTTTTTCCTCTTGTTAAATCTGCTTTTCTCTTTTTCACCAACTGGCTTTGGCTTCATGATTCTCCAAGCACTAAGCTCTGTCCTGTGAGGGATTTGTAAACCGGCCACTTTCCCTCCTCATCTCATTTTCCCAGGCAGGTTTCTGATAAGACTCCAGGCTGCATCCTAGGAGGTTCTGTGATGTGTTTTCCAAACTTTCCAACTCTGGGGAAACCGGCATCCAGTCTTCAATCGTTGGCTGATCGAGGCAGATGCTGGCAGATCCCATCTACTCATGGTTGCCCACCTGTGAGCAGGCGGAGCTGTGCCCACGGGCCTCTCAGCGCCTGTCTGGCGGGTTCAGCCAGGATTTCAGAATCAGACCACTGGGATCCCGAATTTGTATCCTGCCTAAATTGTGGTCGGTCTAGAGCCGTGGATTTTGTGTGATGCTCTGGTCTCTCAAAGTTGGCTTGTGGCTTTCAGGGTCCTTGTGTTGTATCTGGGAAACCTCTACAGTCTGATCATCGCCCTCTTGGACAAAGTTGACAGCATGAGCATTGAGGTGAGTGCTCCCCACTGGGCA